CCCCAAAACCCCAAAACCCCAAAACCCCAAAACCCCTTTAAAGCTTATATATTTTGAAAAAAGTGATTATATAATTAATAATGACTCCAATCAACCACCTAATTAACCTCCAAAAACCCAACCAGAAGACCCTCAAAACTGATTTTCTCCTACTGACTCTTACAAGTATATAGGAATTGGATTTACTCTTTTCTATTTCCTAATATCTTTGAAGTTCACAAGCTTCCCGGTAGGCTTCCATCTTTGCCTTGTCATAGGTAAGTCTTTGTTCCAATATTTTGCTCCGTAGTCTTACATAAAAACATTACTCATATGCTTTAGGAGTGTGTGTCCTCTTGGCTGCCAACTATACATTGTCTCTGCAATACTCCAAATGGATAGACTACTCAGTGTTCCCACTCTCGCTAATCGGAACTCTCTACATTTCAGAAATCAGTGGAATGTTGGGGCTGCATTTCTTCAACACCCTGGCGCTGACTTTGTTTGCATTCGTGGCTGGGATCTGTCTGAACCTGAGCCACCACAGACATCAGAGCGCTATCTGAATCGGAGGGAGCATAATGTATTACATCTTGAGATTGGGATTTTATTTTAGCTCATTCCCGGTGAGCTTCACTGCGACTATAATCATCAGCGTAAGCAAATATTTCAAAAAGACTTCTTATTAAATTTTAAAGAATTATTTTAGAAAATTCCCAAAAATTAAAAGTCTCTAACTTTAGCATAGGTTGCTTTTTACGGTGCAAATCAAGCCATCTATGAGTTAGAAATAATGAAAGATCGCAAGGCTTCAAAAGATAGTGCTAAACTAAACTTTTCGATGTATGAGACTCTTGATAACATTCCGTACCCTATCCTTGTTGAACAAGAAAAGGAAATAGTGATTTTCAACAGAAAGTTTGCTAAGTTGCTGAAAATTGAGCAGATTGACGAAGGAGTCAAAGACTGCGTCTTTAGCAAACTTAAGCAAACAGATATTGAAATAGGTAAGTTTGTAATTTCCATTACCTGAAATTTTCATATTGACTTATCGAAAATTCTATTATGTTATCCATCAGTTAATAATACGGTAACACCTATTTCTCTTCTTTCCAATTTCCCAATGGATTAATCAACAACTTATTTCAAGATGAGGGTTGCTTATATCTTATAGAAGACAAGAAGTTTATCAAAAGACTCAATAAAGTTGGGAAGAAGCTCAGTTATAGTCAAGGAAGTAATTTTAAAAATCAAGGGTATCTGAATAATCAGAATACAGGAAAAGGTGCTATAGAAGAGTCCAAGGGCATTGCTATTGACAACATAGGGTCCTCCTTTGATTTTGGATCAGAGAACTCTGTCAGTGATAGTGAAGAAAGACTTTCTCACATTGAACCAACAACTAGCACTCTGTACGAAGCCATTTTCACAGACCAGAAAATCAGTAAGTTATCTCTATATCCCATATTTGTTTGCTCTGTTTGTATTTATTGGTCTCCAAAGTTGGAACTTTGTGTGACATTTTTAGATGAACAAAGCATTGTGTTTGATAAAGAAGAAATGCGGCTTGCCATCCAAGACAGAAAGTTCATTCTCAAGTCAAAGTCTATCAAATGGAATGATAAAGACGCAAAAATCCACATTTTTGAACAGAGCAAACTAATTTCTGCTAAAGCTCTGAATCCTCATATTAACAATGAGCAATACAAACTCATTATGAGTCAGTATGCATCAGAGCTTACAAAGATGCTTCAGAAAGTTGATCGAGAACTCTCTGAAGCCGAACAGAACGAAGAGCAGTTCCAGGAACTCAAGAAGTCCATTAACCACATGACTTCGGTTATGCGAGAGATCGTGGCCACCATCACATTTGACGGCGAAAACCCATGTGAAGAGCAGAAGTCTGAGTTCACGATCGACTCGTTGTGAGCTGAAGTCAGAAACACTATCAAGCCTAGAGCTAGAGACAAAGGCATCACCATAGAGCTCGATGTGCATCCCAGACTAACAGGCGTTATTGTGAATGCAGAGAGAGCCACCGTGAAGCAAATATTGCTGCCACTAGTAACCAACTCGCTTATCAAAATGAGAGCTGGAGTTATTAAAATCAGATGTGAACCTTGTGATGAAGACAAGCAATTGGTACGAGTCTGTATTGAAGATCAGGCTCAATCCATAGGCTTTGATGAAGCACGCAAGATTAATGGTGCGCTCTCTGGACAAGACACTAACCAAGCTATGGAAAGACTTGAAGCTCTCAATCTTGCTAACAGTAAAGTTATGTGAGAGCGACTTGGAGGCAAGATCTGGATGGAGTCTGGCAAAGGAACTGGCAACTTAATCAAATTTACTTTTAGAGTAGGTGATGACGACCTGGATTACTCTTTTGAAGAAGATATTGAAGTTGAAGACTACAATGAGCAGGAAGACTGCATCAGAGCACTGCCTTCCATGAACTGCAATGAAGCTCCCTTCATGCACCTAATCCAGTCTGAGCAAGTTGATGAAGCTGATGATGATGAGGAAGATGAGGAAGAAGAGGAAGATTGCAAAAATAATTGCTGCTCTAATATCTTGCTTGTTGATGACAATTATTTCAATATAGAAGTCTTACAGTCTCTGATAATTGTGCAGCTCAGAATGAAGTGTGACTCCGCTTTCAACGGGCAAGAAGCCGTCGATAAAGTGATAGAAAGAAGTAAGAACACTTGCTGCACCAAGTATTATAAGTACATATTCATGGACATCAACATGCCAATCATGGATGGATACTCTGCCTCAGCTGAGGTTAAAAAGTTCTTGAGGGCCAACCCCGTTTCTAAGAACAAAAACAAAGTTCCCACCAAGATTTTTGCAGTCACTGCTCAGAAAGAAGTCGTTGAGAACGAGCAGAAGCTGTTCGACGGAATCATTCTGAAGCCAATTTCAATCGAAGGACTCAGAAATGTTGTCAAATAAAATATATAAAATTTCAATCAAGCTTCTCGATGCAGGGGTTTTGGGGTTTTGGGGTTTTGGGGTTTTGGGG